CGGTGTTAGCGGGACCTCCATTGCACGCTCAGGGCTATGTGTGATTAGCAGTTGAGCAGGTTGGTCAAAAGGGCATTCATTGCACTCCCAGTACCCTCGTAACCGTGTTTATGATTTTCGTCGAGGCTCAAATGGAACGAACACTACCTGCGCTATGAAGAGGGCCTCCATTGCACGCTCAGGGCTATGTGTGATTAGCAGCTGAGTGGTAGGTCAAAAAGGTGTTYATTGCACTCCCAGGCGCCRCCCCTTTATTTAGGTCACTGGATCGTAGTATCGCTATCATAATATCCATTGCACTGCCGGGGTTGAAGGACCCATTGGATGCGGGTCCGGAAGTCCGGAAGGATATTACCAAGTACTCATTGCACTCCCAGGGCAAGTGGTTACTGACAGGTCAGCGTTGACCATTGAACGTCAGGACTGCGATGTGGTCTCTCGATGTCTGCACGTCCAGAGGCAAGCGGSCTGGTTGGAATCTATGAGCAAAGGGTTGACCCTTAACCTGGTTTTCCCTAGGCTCCTGGAGTCCTACTCAAACCAGGACTGCGATTTATCTACCCTTTCGTACCCGGACAGAGCTCAACTGATCCTATTCGAAGTACATATTTTATTGTTGATAGATTGGTATAATTATTTTGGGTTAATCACTGTTATATTTAATTATTCACGAATTATGATTGTGGACGTCTCACTCCGATGGATTACTCACACCCCCATTTTATTTTTACAGGCGTTGCCTTATCATTAAATGATGACCTGATCTCGACACCTTGGCACCAGCTGTTCTGACAGGATTATTTCAAAGTGGTTGAGTACTTTCAAAATTATTAAAGTAGTGAGTTGTTAAAATTGCCGCCGGCCTAAAATAATTTTCCTGACAATTGTTAATTGCGTTCCTTTCGCAAATTTAGCTCACCAACGGCCATTGTAATGAAGTTTGTGCGTGTTCAAATCGGCTTTAACTTTGTGTCTCAAAAATGGTCCTACAATTGTATTTCTTGCAAAACGAACTTTCAAACGAGGTTCATTTCTCAAATCATTATATTTGAAAAAAAAAAGTTATAGGTGGCTGTGCATTTTCGAAAGCAGATAAACAAAAACCATATGTGTCAAATGTTGCTCAAGTAAAAATAAAAATCGACCTGTTTCAGGATTTTTTGTAAAAAATCGCTTATATTCAAATTATGAATTTTATTCCAGTTAAAAAATTCCACTCTGTATAAATAAAGACGTACATTCTTCCTAGAGGAAGAAATAGACTGCCCAATAAAGAAAATTATACAGTATGCCTTACGAGGATGAACACATTGTAAAGTCTTAAATGTTTTCGAATCAGTTGTAAACGGAATGAATAAAATATATTTTGAAAAAATTGATTTTAACAAATATTATCAAATCAGCGGAATCGAAGACAAAATCAGTAATATTATTAATGTTTATTATAGTCCGATAGCCCTTTCTCTCCTAGTACAAGATTATCATCTTTAAGAGGGAAAAATACAGATCAGATAGAATACAGTATACGAGTAGCTTAGACAAAAATAATTGTGTTTGTATTATTTTTGACAATAAAAAACTTATTTTCTGGGACATCCTGATGAATTGGTACAGGTTCTAGCTTTGTAACAATTGGTTGAATCAGTACAAGTTGCAGCTATAAAACAGTCTTGCGAGTGTGTACACGTCATAGCTCTATTACATTTTGTAGACCCAGTGCATGTTTGTGCATTGATGCAATTTTTAGAATCTGTACACGTTTGTGCATTTGGACAGTTTCCACAATTAGTACATGCTGCTGTACAACTAGTACAATCAGCACCCCCAGTGCATTGGCAGTAATACTCCGTACACAAACACGTAACTATAACTGCTATTACTAGCCAGTTCTTTGTAAAAGCACACGTTTTGAATGCCATAGTGTTTTGTATTTCCGTTATTTATTTCACTGTTTACTTGAGTCGACTGCTGAATTTTGCCCTATGCTTTATTATATACCTTTTTTTAACCACCTACGACGTCATAACGACCTCGGTGAATTATCTTATTTACAAACTATTACAACACAATTTTTCCACCGACTTCACAATGGCTTCGGTATTTATTTCGTTAATCGTTATCCTGTTTACAGAATAAAAGTTACAATAACATATTATTTTATATTGTTTACTCTACTACGAGCCATTTCTGGAAAAAAGTGGGTGTGACAAAGAAGCTCAAGGGTAGGTATCGTGGTAACGAGCCCATCGTCGAACAATGACAATGTTTAAATAAAACTAAATTATTGCCATTAGTTGTCGCCAGAACTCATTCCAAACAAAGTGTAGTTGGTATTCTATGAAGAAGTGTTTTGTTGGTTGTTAAATAAGCTAAATGTGGCCAAACCAACAAATATACCAGAAGTCCTTTTTATTATGGTTTTTTGTGTCAGTTATTTTAACCAATAAGTTTTTCTTAGTGTTATTCTGAATTCTGTAACTCATCGATTTCATAATCATTGAATCTCATACAAAAGTTCGGTTTCATTCACTGATAAAACATCAGTAGATTAGTAGTATTATAGGCATCAATAAAAAAATTTACTATTGATTGTGTTATTTATTTATATTACTTATTAGTACTGAGGTAGGCAAGTAGGTGGTAATGCAACAAAAACATTTAACTGTATATTGCATATTTGGGACCAAATGGCTGCGCCCATGGAGCGTGTAGCAGTTTACATGCGTATGTCAGCTTTCCATCTTATTTTACGAATTCCGTGGTTTGGTTTAGTAACTAGTATTTACATAATAGTTACAAACGAGTCCGGTAGATAAATTTTATCGGCCTAGTCCGGTAGTAGGCTACTACCGGCCGTAGGCTATCTACCTTGTTCGTCAAATAAATTTAAATTTGCGGCGTAGCCTTGAACTTCACCAAATCAAATTGTAAACAAATATGATCTTTGAGGTTAGTCCTTCAAAACCTAAACTATTGTTTTATAAACAATATAACTATTGTTTATAAAACAATAGTTAAAATTTGTAAAAAACACGCACTCATCTAAAAAAAAACGGTAAACATTTTGCATCAACTTTTTTGTTGATTAATCATTAGTCATTACATCAAGCGATTACTAGCAATTAAAAGTCTACTAGTAATGTAAACTTTAAGATAAAGTACTCAAAAGGTTCAAAATTCGTTTATGTTGCATTATTTTGATATTTTTTTCGACCTCAATGTGCAGGTTTCACCCCCTCTATCTCAGACACTTTAAACATTCGGATAAGGCAAGTTGAGTTATTTTGAATTCTTTTGAGCTCTACTATCGTCTGTTAGTTGCACATACTTCAAAATCACTCTGTATATAATGGATGGGCTGTACACAAGTTCCAAAATGGATTACACGAAATCTTAAATATTGGACATACAGTAATTGTTCGCTTAGCCGTCGATATTTGATCCTTCTTATTTCATAAATCCTAATAAACGGATTATGCATTAAAAATACAGTTAACTGCTGAAAACTATATTCATCTTTTAATATTTGTAACGATCGGGTTTTTATATTTACTCATTTACATAGTAGTAGTCATATTACATAGTCCGTTTGGATGATAGATAGTATTTAATTAGGTAAAACAATTAAAACCTGTATTTTCATAAAATTTCAGTACAACATACTTTTTATTGTACGACTCTCAAATAACAAAATAAGTTTACATGCTTACAACTAAATACTTTATCTTCATTCTGACTCACTTTCACTACTTTCAAAATCCCCAACGTCTATTGAAAATTTGTATTCTTGATCGCAACCCAAATATGCATCACTCATAAAATACAACGTGTAATTATGATGACCTGGACTAGGTGCAACAAAATCCAACTTTACTCGAGCTCTTTGCTGAAGAGTAAGCCGTTTAATTGAAAGCAAGGAATTCGTTTTTGGATCACCAATAACGACCCACCATCCTTCTTCTCGTTTCTGAAAATATGATAATTATGTTTGAGAAAACAAATAAGCAGGTCAAAGAGCGGGAAATGGACATTTTCACTTCACAGTGTAAATATGGATTAATTTTTATTTATAAACAATTAAAAGTTCCTAACGAGTTTATTTCAGTTTGTAATTAAAAGCAACCAATTAAAAAAAGAGAACCTCTTGATCATAAAATCATCAGACCATAAATAAATTCCAAAAACTTAGAATTTCCCACTTTTCGAGGCCAAGAACTGGCACCGATATATTAATAGAAAAAAATGTATTTGTCAAAAGATACATTTTCCTTGTAGCAAAAAAAAAATAGAAAAACATGCTTTTGACGGACTTGCCTGCGATCAATGACCAAAGGCACAATTTGACCTATTTTGATTTCCTTCTGGTTATTTTGCTTTTTTTAAGTAAATCCAAATAAAAAATTAAAAGTGACAAGCAGTGTGGAAAAAATGTGGTAGTTTTTTTAGCTCTAATATTTTTATAAAGATCAAAAAATATGCGATTTTCCGTTAACGAAGTCTGACTTCAATTTTTTAGGTATTTTTCTATGTTAGACATCAACCTACCTGTGGGAAAAAGGGCGCAATGACAGGACCGTTCACTTCATCTTCCCTTTCAAGCTGCACGGCTACGTGCACCGAAGACCCGGAATGTATGTTATCTTTATCCAAAACTTCATAGCTTAGTTCAATGTTTGGATATCTATTACAAAATCTGGCCACATCAGCCATTTGACTATCGCTCAACTGTAACAATTTAGACCTGTCCTCATCTTCCAATTCCATTATATCAAACACAGTTTCCACACCCTTATCCGTACATCGTTTAATAATATCTGCTGTAAAGTGAGGTAACTGCTTCAGATAAGAATCTTTACTCCACATTGCTTGTGTAACCATTTGAGCTAATTCCATAGCCGCTACAGCTGGCGAAAGCCATCCATTAGAACTAAGTACGTCAACGCAAGCTTGGATAAGTCGAATAGCTTTGCTTAATACAATCTCCGTATCTCCTTGAAGTTCCGCACCTAGCTGAAGTCTACACAGATGTGCTTGAATGAGAAGATTTGTTTTGACGTGTGGATCGTTAAATTTCGGTTGGCTTCCACTTGAAGATGTCAGTTTATTTGGTAATTTTGTCGCCAATTGACGAAGAATATTATCTTCGTGGTGACGTACAGAAAGATCTTCATATTCGGCCGCTGATGATATGATTTCTAATAAACCACGAATCTTGGTCTTGCTGTTCAGTGACAAGCTGAATAGTTCTATGAATTTTAATAAATTGATAAGAAAAAAATATAAAAACACAATAAATATACATACCAATAGTTGTGTAATTAATGTAGTAATATGCCGCAATCATTCCCAAATTTAGAGGAACACAATCCATGTCCTCCTCTATGCTGATACATTTTGATTGTTCCAAATCGGACAAAGTATTTTCCACTAACTCTGATAAATGATCAGAGAGATGTCTGTGTGTAACTCCTTGCAAGTTGTAATAGTTTGGATTTTGTGTAAGTCTTCTATACAAAAATGTCCAAGTCAAATAATCAACAGCGTCTTGTTTATTTTCAATAGTTTTTGTTACGATTTCGGCATTAAAATGGTCGTGTAGTCTATGATCCAAATGACTTTCAACCGGTAACGGTTCGCTTAAGAATTTTTTGAAAAAGTCTTTCTTCGTACTTTGACACATTAGTACACATTTCGCATCGTCATCTTCCAAAGGGCGATTCGCTCGTCCTACCATTTGTAACACATCGGTAATGGGATAGTCTTCGTAAGAATGGATTTTTCCATTGTAAAACTGAGTGTCCATTATGATAACTAAATAAGAGTAAATGTTCACGGTCCAACATAAATCTTTGCTAACGACAGCAATTTGTACCGCCCCCGAGTCAAACAACTGTTCAACCAAGCGTAAATCACTTGCAGTCAAACCTTCATGCATGTATGCAACTCCTTGAGAAAGGGTTTCTTTCAAAGTCTAAAACAAAATGAATTAAAAACTTGATATTTCACAAAAAAATATTTACTTTATCAGTCATACGATCCAAGAACGGTTTTATATCTTCTTCTTCTGCATGGAAAAATTTATTGGATTGTCCCTCCGAAGCAGCATATGTAAGTAAATCAATAGCTGTTAACCGGGATTGTTTTCTTGTAGGTACAAAAACAATAACCGGTTTATGAGGACTGTATCTCACTACCGCATTATAAACCGGTTTAGCCATCGCAATTAATCTTGATGCATTGTGTGTTATATTAATGCCTTGAACATGTAATTCCAAAGGAACAGGTCTCACACTTGGATGAAAATTAAATGTAGCATTCGCGTTACAACCCAACCATTGAGATACATCTCTGTAATCCATGAGTGATGCACTTAATGCTATAATTCTTATAGGCTTCTCAATCTGTGACGAAATATATCTCATTCGTGAACAAACAACTTCGATAACAGGCCCGTCTTCCCCGCCAATCAAATGAAGTTCATCGACGATAAACAAATTGACATTTTGCACATTTTTCCTTTGTTTCCATCTTCGTGACAAAACATCCCACTTTTCGGCCGTACTTATGACAATTTGACCTTTTGCCAATAATTTTAAATCGGTCCCAGTTTCCCCAGTCAACAATACAACTTTCTTTCCCAATATTTGGCCAAATTTGTTATGCCAATCCGCGAAAGTTAATTCAGCGAGTGCATCCTTTGGAACCAAATACACACAACGTCCTTCTGGATTTTTATCAAACAAACGTAGTATAGCAAATTCAGCTATAGTTGTTTTTCCCGAACCTGTTGGAGCACCAATGAAAATATTATCGTCGCCGTTGTATACTGAATTGAAAACTTGTGTCTGAATGGGATTGAACTGAGGAAATTTATCACTGTACAATGATTCGTACTTGTCATTTCTAAGGGCGGTAACTGGCAAAGGTTGTAGATCCAGCAACTCGGTTGGTGGAAAGTTCTTCTCAGGTAATATTAAATGTCGAAAAGAAACTGGTAACTGTGTTTCGGCACCGATCCATCTATCAGATACTATTCTTAAAAAGTACTGAGGCGGCAAAGGTTCGAAAATAGGTACAAAAAATTTAACCAAATGTTCATCTTGAGAATATTTCGCTTTCAAAAGAAAATATTCATGATGAAGAATAACCTCTGAATCTACATCTTCTACTAAGATCCAGAATGCTTCAGAAGCACCGTGTAATTTTTCGTCCCACTGGAAATCGGGCGTTATTGTCAATTCAACTTTCAACATGGACCGAGTAATTGGTTGTATGTGTGTTGAAAGTTCCAGTTTAGGAAACTGATGTACGTATTTATGAATAGTTTTGCCCAATTTTGGGACTCGAATTAATTCACCAATTTCATTAGGTCCTAAATCATAGAGACGTTCCCACGGAAAATTCTTCTTTTCGATTTTCTTCACAATCTCTTCAGGCATTTTGCGAAACTGCCGCAGAGGAGACATCGACTGCCACATTCGTTTATCAATCATTTTACACAAAGCTAAAGACTTATCAGCCAACTGAGCCCATCCTCTGTGAAGTACAATTTCAAAAATAGCTCGCATTAATCTCGATGCCGATTGGGTAACGTAAACCATATCTGACATTAGTGCAAAACCTTCCAATTTCAGCTGAGAAATAAAAGCTTGCAAAAGTACGTTAACTTTAGCACTTGGTTCTTCTATGCTTTCTTTAATAGGAATAGGAACACGTTCCATTAGTTTTTGCAATTCCAATTTCTCTTCTTCGCGTACAGTAATATTTCTGAATTCTGATGACAACGAAAAAACACGAAAGAGTTCGATCTCGCTTAACATTGGTTTCAAAAGCTGATTATAAGTTTGCATAGTCTCGTGGGTACAATAATAGTGTGAGGAAATCCTTCCCAATTCGGTCACTTGAAACTGACCAGTTTTCCTGTCGTATTTAACTAATCCACTACGATCCAGATACAAGGCAGCTGTATGTATCAAGTCAGCTCGATGTTGTTCTAACAACGGATCTTGTTTAAAATGGTCGTGCGAAACACCGTACAAAGTTGGTTGTCTAAGCATTCGGATGTACAAATACGTATAACCTAACCACGTAACCGCATCTCTTACATTTTGTACTGTACCCAAAACTACCTCAGCATTTAACATGTCCGACAATTTCGATATCATTTGAGATTCGATGGGTAACTGTTGATTCAGAAGAGATAAATAGTACTGCAATTCGCTGTGATTGGTGATTAATATTCCTTCACCTCTGGTATCATATTGAGGGCGACCAGCACGACCTAACATTTGAAGAACATCCAAAGCTCCCAGTTCAACCCATCTGCCTTTCTCTGGATTATAAATCTGTGTACCTTTTATTATGACAGTGTGAGCTGGCAAGTTTACGCCCCAAGCAAGAGTTGCAGTTGACACCAGTACCTGTAAAAAATAATAATTTTATAAAACTATTCTATTTTTTTGTAGTGATTGCAATACATCCAAATATAATGGGTTTTTTGACTTGTTTTTTCCTTTACTCTTAATCAGTGTTATAAATAAGTTGAATTTTAAATATGTTTCAAATTACCTGTATATGCCTATCTGCAAACAGATCTTCCACTAGTGTTCTGTCAACCCTTGTCATTCCGGCATGATGTATCGCAAACCCGTAAGGTAACAAATCCTTCAGTTCATGATTTTTCACTTGTTCAGCTTCAGTTCGCAAAACTTCCATTGAAGCCGATCCCTCTTTTAGAAACTGTCCTAAGGTATCTTTTTCAAGACACATATCACGAATAGCTCGAGCTGTTTTTCCCGTTTCTTTTCTCGAATGTACGAAAATTAAGACTTGATTTCGTCCAGCATGTTCCATTGTTTTTTCATAAACAATCTCATTCATTACTTGGTACCGTTTTAAAGCCTTTTTTTCAGTTACTCCAATATATTGTTGTTCCAAAGCAACTGGTCGAAAACTGTTATCAAAATAAAAAAGACCAGTATCTGCTTTAACTCGAAGAAAAGCGGCAACATCTTGATAGTTTGGTAAAGTAGCCGAGAGGCCGACAAGACGGACATCTTCTTGAGTCGATTCAATCATGCGAATTGTTCTTGCAACCAAAGCTTCCAACACTGGACCTCGCTCGTCATGTAACAAATGAATTTCATCGATAATAATCAGTCTTACTAACGAAGTGAACGTCTTTTCTCCTCCTTTTCGTGTTATAATATCCCATTTTTCAGGTGTGCACACAATTATTTGTGTCCCAGCAATCTGTTCTCTAGTTAATTGATGATCACCAGTCAATTCCGATACAGTAATATTGTAACTCGCTAATCTTTTTCCAAAGTTACCCACCATTTCTTGTACAAGAGAACGCATAGGTGCAACGTATATTATCTTAAAATCGTCGGCATTAATCGTACCATCCGTATTGATATGTTTTCCTATTTCACGCATCATACACAGTAATGCTACATTAGTTTTACCTGCACCTGTAGGTGCACAAAGAAGCAAATTCTCATCTGATTCCAGAGCAGTTTTATATAAGCGACTCTGAATACGATTTAGTGTTTTGAACCCTTCAAAAACAGGCTGAACGTATTTTGGTAGTTGATCAACTGATTGTAACTTTTCGTTATCTCCAAACGGCTTGGGTTTTAAAGCAGGAACGTGCACCTCTTCGTAGCCTAAAATAAACAATACAATTATATATCATATAACAACTAGTGGCGGCTTGTGATCATTAAGACAGGGTAGGCAGGCAAGAATGTCCCCCCCTCATCTACCTCACAACTTTTTCTAAAATTATTATGTACATATGGAAATATAATATGTACAGGGTGGTGCATTTTGGATGTCCGAATAGGGAATCCCCGAAACTAAGCTGTTTAGCCAAAAACGAGTGATAGATTCTGGGCCTCATTTTTTGAGAAAATAATATTGGTTGAAAAAAAATTTACGAGGAATTTAATAACGTGGTTAATAGTTTTTTTCAGTTATTTGTTTAGTCGTAGTAAGATAAACTTGTATTTTTTAAATGGAAATCATAGGCGGCTATGACAATTTTAAAAAGTTTATTTTTTTTCTGAACTAAAAAATATACAGGGTATTTCACGAGTGATAATGAGCCTGACGGAATTGAAAATACAACCCACAATACATTTGCAAAGTTAACGTGGATATTTTAGATATTGCATTGTTTGAAACACCGAATTATGAATCCACGATAGCTTTGCTTCGATAATTTTATTTGTCACAACCATGTCACAACTGACATTAGCAAAATTTAAAAATGCATTCGAACGATGAGAAAACAGATCCGATTCTCATTTATGGCGAATTTGGAAAAAATGCTTCTGCCGTTGAACCCCTTTAAAGACAATGTTTCCTGTATAGAAAAGCTCCAAAAAGGCTTGAAAGTGTTTTCCAATGGTAGATAGACAATAACCTTAAAAACTGTGTTTCCTTTCTTGTCAATTTCTTTGTGTCAGTTACGCGATAACTATGTTTTATTACTTTTAAAATTCATAATCAAAATCCATGAAGCCTATGCAAATGTATTGCTGGCTGCAGTTCAAATGTGGTTAGGCTCATCATCACTCGTGAAATACCCTGTATATTTGTAACAGAATATTTTTTTATAATTATACTTAAAAAGTGAAATACATATTTTGTTTGATAATAGTTGGCCATGGAAAAACTATTTCACTCCAAATGTGTAAATAATAATCAATAAGAGTTTTGTGAACTGTAAAATAGAGGAAAAAACAGATAAAATTACAAAAATTTAAAAAATACGATACGTTAGAAGTAGTGAACAAATATGCGAGCGCCCCAGAACAAAAATATTATATATTTTTAAAAAATCCAAAAATAGGAAAAACAAATGTGTCAACAGTCAACACAATTATAAAAAATATTTTTTTGATGATCTAATGGAGGTAGGATAACGTTCCACATAGACGGAATTTGGTTATTTGAATAGCCATATCGTCATTTTTGTGTCATATAAATTATATTTTATTGAAGCATTAAAGTGGCTTTTTTTTACAACACTCTGTGTATCACTAGAAGTTACAATGGTAATGTTAGCTTGTTTAAAAACAAAGAAATGTGAATCGCCAATAAGTTGATTTACGATTTATTTTGCTTTTTTTTTTCATTACTTAGTACTTAGAAAACTCATTCATTAGTGACACTGGTTGGATAATATATTTAAATCCTTTTAGTTGAAGATGCAACATTTTTTTATGGCCAACTGCAGACAAAAATCAAAGACAATTTTTTGCTGAAAATGTATTATAATAATTTGTTACAAATATATATTTTTTAAATAAGAGAAAAACAAGCTTTTCAAAAATGACATAGCCATCTATGAGTCCCATTTAAAAAAATACAAGTTTATTTTATTACGGCTAAACAAACAACTGAAAAAAATTGTTAACTACATTATTAAATTCTACGTAAAAAGTGCCAGTATAATGTCTTTATTTCAAATCTGTGTCTTTTATAATAACGAAGATATGAATTTTTTTAGTTTTCGCTAAAATGTCAATTTTTGTCTATAAGTCGAAAACAAAAAACGATAGCGGGATGCGGTTTTAACCAATATTATTTCCTCAAAAAATGAGCCCCAGAATGTATTACTCGTTTTTGGCAAAACCTCTTAGTTTCAGAGATTCCCTATTCGGACATCCAAAATGCAGCACCCTGTACATAGTAAAGTCTGTTTTTTTTTAATGGAAATGCCAAACAATCTTAACGTTGGCATCACTAGTAAATTCATTAATGGTAATTTTAATAAAGGAAGTTGGCAGTTCCGTTTTTTTGAATAATTTAATAATTTGAAAACAATGTCATTATGTCATTAAACGTCAACACAAAAAATCGTGTAAGAAAATTTAGAGACGAAACACCAAAAAAGAAACGAATTCGGTACCGCTAACAGTTTTTAGAAATTTGGAAACGAATAGTTCGCAAGCAGGAAGTTAGAAAAAGGGCCTGTTAAAATGTAGACGCAATTTGTACTGCAGGTTTGCTAAACATTCTCAATTTTTAGCAAGAAATTGACAAAATTTGTGGCTATGGAGACAAGCTGCTACCAATTTTTTCACCAAAATTTTGACTTGGTAATTTCCATTAAAAAAAAAAAAACAGACTTTATGTACTTATTTTAAACTAAAACAAATAAACAAAATTTCTTCAAAAACGCTGCACAAGACACTAATTTAATTGCGTTCTTTCCGAGGTTCTTTCTCATTCATATTTATTTTGTATTCTTGTCAATTTTTTGCTAAAAATTGACAATATTTAGCAAACCTGCATTACAAATTGCGTCTACATTTTAACGGGCCCTTTTTCTAACTTCCTGCTTGCGAACTATTCGTTTCCAAATTTCTAAAAACTGTTAGCGGTACCGAATTCGCTTCTTTTTTGGTGTTTCGTCTCTAAATTTTCTTAGACGATTTTTTGACGTTTAATGAGATTGTTTTCAAATTAATTCAAAAAACCCGAACTGCCAACTTCCTTTATTAAAATTACCATGAATGAATTTACTAGTGGTGCCAACGTTAAAACTGTTCGGTATTTCCATTTAAAAAAAACGAACTTTACGTGTTTTTAATAAGTTCAATAAATTATTTTGATTTGTTGTCATCTTTTCTCTAACTATCAGCATAAAAATTACAAAAACCGAAAATGATGTTAATTGCCAATTACATTTTTATGTCAGTCGAATGACAAATCGTCCAAAATTCCGTGTCCGCCAGTGTATTAAATTTATGAATTAAAAAGGTGAATTATTGCAATATAAGAATTTGAGGTTATATTTATTGTACAGTTGGAGACAAAATACTTTGGTCGTCAATGCCACTTGAGTGACATTAAATTGTAAAGCACGATTTAGGACTGTTAACCTTATTTTAAGCTACTGTCAATCATAGTTGACAAGTTATACAGCGCGAGTCATATATAATAAAACGCTAACCGATTTTCAGACGCAACCTGAAATACATCTGCACGGATAACTTGGCTTTAGTTGTGTATGAAAAATATAGTTTCATAAATTTGAATCAAAGTAGTTGTTGACATGTCATTCATTAAATTTGACAGTGTCATCAATTTCGCTTTTTTCCCCTTGAATTTAAAATATACTCAATTGACGAAGTAACTGACATAGAGAATGCCACAAAAATGTTGTAACTGGATCTGTACCGTCAAAGGTACACTGTAGGATGACAATTTTCAAAGCGATCACAGGTAACTATGTTTATATCTGTGAAAAATTTCAACTAGTTTATCAATTAACGCACCGTGGTATCTGAGAATGTATTATGGGTTGCGTTTCAAAATCGGTTAGGGTCTTTATTATACAGGGTTGCGTTTCAAAATCGGTTAGGGTCTTTATTATACAGGGTGCGCCAGAACTCGCGCCCCAGAGAAAATTTTCAAGTAAGGTAATATACCAAGAACATGAAAAAAATGTTTAAAAAATTTTATCTGTCAAAAAATTTTGACATTTAGTTTTTGACATTTGACATTTTTTTATATCTATTTAATGATAGTGATGATCTTGTATATGTTTTTTTACAATTATTTAGTAAAGGGACAAAAATTTTGCCAATAAAAGCCTCAAATAACATTGAACAGAGTTACAATTTAGGATACAGCTACCTTGTTTCCTCTTTTAATAGCCTATTGCAAAAAAACTTGGAAAATTATTTTTCCAACAGAAATAAATAGAGTCAAAGTGCAAACTTTAAAGCCTCATAACTTCGAAATTTTTATAGATAAAATTTTTTTAACATTTTTTCCATGTTCCTGGTATCTTACCTTATATGGCATTTTTCTCTGGAGGGCGAGTTCTGGCGCACCCTGTATGTGACTCAGCCTGTATGTACATATTTTTCATAGGAAAATATAAAAGCTGTCATTAATTTGAAATTGTCATTCATTTTAAACAAAACTATGGAAATACAAAGTGTTCGTGAATTACGAGCAAATATTCTAACCATTAAGGCTAGACGCTGAACCATTTCCATTTCTTAGAGAAAAATGCCAGATAAGGTAAGATAACAGGAACATGAAAAAATCTTTAAAAAATTTTATCTATAAAAATTTTGAAGTTATGAGAGTTTAAATTTTGCACTTTGACTCTATTTATTTCTGTTGGTAAAATTATTTTCCATGTTTTTTTGCTACAGGCTATTATAATAGAAGAGGAAACAAGAAAGCTGTATCCTAAATTGTGATTCTGTTTAATGTTATTTCTGTCTTTTATTGGCAAAATTTTTGTACCTTTACTAAATAATGGTAAAAAACATATACAAGATCATCAGTACCATTAAATAGACATAAAAAAAGTCAAATGTCAAAAAATAAGTGTCAAAATTTTTTGACAGAATTTTTTAAACATTTTTTCCATGTTCCTGGTATCTTATCTTTCGTGAAATTTTTCTCTGGGGCTCGAGTTCTGGCGCACCCTGTATGCATATTCGTTCCTTTTTCATGTAAATTCAGTGTAGGTAGTCGTGCAAATTAAATTAAAAAAAACATTTTTTTGGGTATATAAACTTGATTTGCACATAACTTCAAATAGTTGAATTCCTTTTAAAAAAGCACGAACCTACACCTCGCAAGTATTTTTATTACTTTATGTTCCAAAATGATTAATAAATCAATAATAATAAACACAAGAATTGACTTTAAAAATTGGACAGCGTAAAAATTTTATGGTGATTGAAACTGAGCTACAGATCATACTTACAAAGTCTAATTGTAAACCTGTACGGTCCACAAAACCTAACTTAAAAATTGTACCTTTTTGGTTGTTATAAATGAAAAAGCACTTAACACTTACCTTTCCTTTGCTTTCTGAAGGAACCATCAGGTAACTGGCACCGTTTATTTGCCATATAATGCGATCCTTGTGTAAACACTAAATCCTCTAGGTCAAGCAGATGTCTCGATCCAGCAACCTGCGCGCCAGTGCCTGTGTCCATCTCGTCAGACTGATCCTTTCGTCTTGACGATCTTGATGTTGATTCTTCGTCTTCACCATCGTCATCCCCCTTTCCCGTCTCCAGAAGCCGTAAAATGCGTGTAAGACTTGGGTCTTCAGACATTTTATCTTTAATTTTCTGCCTTTCCGATTCACTTTGTGATTTGGCTAATAATGTGCAATATAATACTGTAAACAAAATATTAGCCATAAATTTAACTATAAAAAATGGCAACTTACTCATCTGCCTATGTTTTTTCAATTGTTTAATAAAGTCAAAGCAATCATAACCAAGTAGCAAAACAAGTTGGTTTTCGCACTCTCGATCATCTCCAGCATCACGAAGAACATTTAAAACTTCTGTCGCCTTTGCCTGGGACACCATTGCATCGTCATAAATTTTTGAAAGACGTCTTTGCAACCAATAAGCGTCTATGTCAAGGGGATGAAGCGCTTTCTCCTTTTTCATTTCTTCAACACCACCCAACTATTACAGTAATAAATAAAATAACAAAGTTGCAAAGAAAGTAAAAAAAACTTACATTCTCAGCATGTATAGCACTATCCTCTTTAGCTTCTTCTCCTTCTTCATCATCTATATCCTCACGAACTTCTCCATACATGTCCTCATCATCTTCCTCTTCTGATTCTTCAAACTGAACATTAATTCCATAAGTTTCATCAATGTTTTCTTCATTCATAGATATTTTGTTATCTTCATTTCCAAAGTCAGTAATTTTTTTACCCAAATTAACAAGTAAGGCAAATCTCTCCTCAGCAATCGGGCCTAAGCAAAAAAATTAATAAAATCTCATTTTCTGCATCACTTCAGAGAGTAAATTTAAAAATTATTTCAAATTGCCTTACAATTCTGTTTATAAACGATGAAACAAGACAACTGTGATGTATCTAATTTACTTATTCGCATTCTCTTATACAGTGTCTCCGGATGGGTGAAACGACTCTTGTAAAAGATAAAAAATTCTCGATTTAAATTTTCATTTTTTGGGGTTCTGCCCTGCTTGGTTAAAGACTAATTTCTGTGATAATTTTATTTTGAAAAATCAAGTATGTCTTGACAATTTAAAAAAAAAACTATTTTACTGTAATGTGCCTTTTGTCTAAAATTATCAAAAATCAAAAGAAACAAAACTGTCAGGAATGAAAAGCAATGCCTTGAGGAGCCAAATAAAGCAATATTTCATAAAAAATTAGACGGACAAAGATTTTCAAAACTGGCTTCAATCCCAAGCTCAATTCTAAAAACTCACGCAAAAAAAACGCATATTTTCTATAGAATAAGTTATTTTCTTTAAAATTCCTCCAATAAAAAATTCACAAAATATTACACTTGCAATATCGAAAAACAAAAATAATGGAAAAAAAACTCATAACTAGGGACACCTAAAGATGTATGTATGTAGTTCTCCGTACTCATAACGTAACACATCCATAAACTTTTGTCAAAATTTATAATTATGGAAATTACAATAGCTGCTATCAATTTTCTGGCCAAAATTCTGTCTTTGTGATTACCTTTTAAATAAAAATACAATGTGAACCTTACAAACCTAATAACATTTCAGTTTCCTTTTTCTTTTCTTTCTCCTTCAACCTGTCGTTCTTTAATACTGTTAAAACTTCATCTGCTGCACCACAAAGAATATCTCTTGGTTGATCCCCCAACGCTTCTTGTAAAAAACTCAGAAGAACTTCATAAGTTTGTCTAGTCTCTTGTGTTTTAGGTCGATATATTATTCCTACCATTTCATCTACACCCTCTGAGAGTAATGTGGCTCCCTTCATCCGGGCAAAATCGTATTGTGCTTCGTCACGTTTTTGCCTCCTGAAAAATTTGATTCGGTAAAATATACGATAGAGTTTATTATTTAAACGAACTTACTTAACTTTTCGTTCTTCAGCTTTGCCGGGTCGAGTCCTCTGAGCTCTGTCTCCCATTTTTGTTCCTGACAATTTTCCAACAAGGGAAACAACTTCACCAGTAGCCTCATCTCGACTTCTTCTTTCAATCAGACGAACATCAGCTTGTAACACAAGATTCGAATTCTAAAACAAATTTTGATGTGATAAACATAGTGAACGTAACCTAACGTTTTCGCGTCGGCAACAAAATCAAGCAATTTTATTCTTAAATAGTAATTCTAATGGGACATTAATTTCCGTTATTAATGTATAACATGTTTGCAAGGGTGTAGAAACGGTAACAATGTGCTTTTTATCACTTACAGCTTTATATTCGTATTGAAGTTGCCTCGCCGCAGCATCCGCCATATTGCTAACACTCAGCAAGCCAGCGACGCGACAGCGACACTAGAGACAGCAGGGTCGCCAACTAGTAACCATAGATCTAGTAAGTACCAACTGTGCGTGACAAAAATGAAAGGTGGTTAGTGTTTTCCAAGGTTCTTTGTTGTAAGATTGTTGATAAGTTTAAAATCTTGCTTTAAACCAAACAAAACACAAGAAGAAAGCGCGCGCATGACGTCACTATGTGTGCTTGTTTAAAATAACCTCATCTTCCAAAGAAATTACGTTTGGCCTCTAACCAATAAATTTTACCATAAAAGTTTTAACACAAGATGTTTCACACAATTTTATAAGGCCTTCGCATGTAAAATGCATTTAGCAAATAGCAATACATACGCAGTACAAACTTGATTAAAGAATAATATTGATAATTTAATTGATACACAGTGTGTCCCCGGATAGGTGAAACGACTCTTGTAAAAAGTAAAAAATTCTCGATTTAAATTTTTCTTTTTTGGGGTTCAGCCCTGCTTAGTGTAATTTTTAACATAATTTTAGTTTTGAAAAATCAAAAATATGTCTTGAAAATTTTCAAAAAAAACTATTTTTCTGTTGATTAAATGCTTTTCAAGTGGCAAATACGACAACAAGTTATTAATAGACGTCGTTTAGATTTTACATTGTTTTTTAAGATAATTGCTTTTTATTTTCAGATAGATAAAAAGTTATTTAGTACTAATAATTTAAATGTAATAGTAGATTATGTTATCAGGAGTAAAAGTGGTTGTTTATGTGGCGAAGCTGAAGGTTCAACTGAGCCACATAAACTCACTTTTACTCGAAATAACATATACTATTTTATCTGCAAACGATTCAGATGGAGAGAAAAAGAAAAAAAATCCGCTACTGGATTACTCCATCAAAAAGTTATTAAAGAAAAACGAATTTTTTGCTTAACGGTGTCGTCCCGATTTTTAGCACTAGGAGAAATCGAAGTGGGGTAAGGGACGCCAATTTTGTCGCCGGTACGGGGCGGTACCTTGTAGCGAGTACTCGAATAAACTAAAAGTATTCTAGTAAAGACTGAATCTCTTGCAGTACCTTTTTCAAGAGAAATGGTATGAAGGTTAAAGCAACCAGCTCTCTTGAAACTACGTCAGTACTGAAAAAATTGTGAAGGCAAAACTTGGAAATCGAAATAGAATTTGAGGGACAGACGAAATCGCCATCCTTTCTACTTAATGTTTTAATGCTTGTACCTATGACCAAATGGAACCTTTACATGTTTTTAAGACATTTGAAATAAATATGTATTTTTTTAGTTACACCGCATTTTGTCAAATTGAATTTTTTAATGTCGTCAAAGTAATAACAATTCGATAAATTCCGTTTTCTAAAATAGGTATGTAAATTAACTATTTGTTAGCAGTATTGAAACCACGACAACCATCACACAATGGGTCGTCAGTGACCGTAAAGCGTTCGATCTTCTAGAAAAAGCTGTTCGGCTTGGCCCATCTGAGACCATAATTTAGGACTATTATGTAGTCTGCAGTTTTGTCAATCTTTTGGCGAATATACCGTTCTATTGCTTTTATTTTAATTTTGTTACTCTTACATTATTTAAGCTACAAATGTGAAATTTTGCTCACTTTCGTAGCAAACCCGAGCACATATACAAGTATACAAGTTCTCATACCGTTCTCAAAAAGTGTAAGAATGTTTTGTTTTGTCATCTGATTTTTTAATAGAAAATATTCGAAAATTCGATTTTATACTTTTTTTTTGGAGGAATGGTGTTTTTTTTTACTTTAACTCTAATTCCTAAATTAGGGTGTGAATACTATTTACTTATTTATTTATTATCAACTTTTTCAAAGTTAACAATAACTAGCCAATAATTCTTTAGAAACAAGTACACCACTCAAAGGTAGAATTTTTACTATGAACTAATACATAGTTTTTGAAATAAAATAAGTCACAATTCGTATCATTGCGCAACTTGTTTGCTCTCAAATCATGTGGGATTTTTTTTAATTTTTTTATTCGAATTTTATTTAAATATCCATAATATTTTAAAAAACGTCTAGGGGAAAGATGTATTGTGATGGTACGAATAGAACGTAAGTAAAAAATTAAAAAATATATTATTAGTTTTTAACAAAACGCCAATATTCATTTTACTTTGACAAAATTTGCCGCCCGAATATCCTCATTGAATGGTGATTTTTTAAGTGGGGGTATACTTAAAAACAGCTAAAAGCTGGAAGAGGTAGAAAATGCATGTTTTGAGATCTAAGCTATAAGTATGAACCTAGGTCGCAATATTACTCTATTAAAAATTTGACAGAAAAAAAAATCAGTCATCTTCAAAAACACGTAAAAAAAGATTTACAAAATTGGATAAATGTAATAAATGAAACTAATAATTTTTTAAAAGAATCTTTTAAAAGACAAAACGATAAGTTTGAAATTAATAATATGTGAATCTTTAGTTTTTCGTAGCTCTTATAACTTTTTTACAAGAATTCCTAATATTTAAAGTCAACCAGTCCGGTTTAAATTTTATTGAGTGTCGAGTAGATAATTTTGTGGCACCCCGGAGCATTAAAGTAAGGATATCCCAAGCAAAACATTGACCATAAGTACCGTTTTTCTGCATGTTTTTCCAGTTTGTATTATTATTCCGGCAATAAGTATAAAATACGAGTATGTCTTAAACAAATTACATTCTTTACAACAAATTTTTGTATAGAGTCATAATAGATTCGTCCAACACCCAATATAATTTAGATAAATATTATAGAACTTTTTTGTGACACTTGATTACTCTTTCCATTATACCGGTACTGTCACTATACAGGGTGCGCCAGAACTCGCGCCCCAGAGTAAAATGCCATATAAGGTAAGATACCAGGAACATGGAAAAAATGTTAAAAAAAATTTTTCTATAAAAATTTCGAAGTTATGAGGGTTTAAAGTTTGCACTTTGACTCTATTTATTTCTGTTGGGAAAATGATTTTCCAAGTTTTTTTTGCTATAGGCTATTAAAACAGGAAACAAGGAAGCTGTATCCGAAACTGTAACTCTGTTCAATGTTATTTGTGGCTTTTATTGGCATTATTTTTGTCCCTTTACTAAATAATTGTAAAAAAACATATACAAGATCATCAGTATCATTAAATAGATATAAAAAAATGTCAAATCTCAAAAAATATATGTCAAAATTTTTTGACAGATAGAATTTTTTGCCATTTTGCCATGGCTTCTTTCAAAGCAAAAATACCAGAAGATAGAAACATTGGTCAGGGAGCGTGGTGTTTCAATATTTGTGGACAGATTTATCATTACGTTGAGCCGGTGCCATCGCAAGGAAATTATGAACCAAAATTAGGCAACTATTATTTTCTAGATACCGAAGATGCCATCGAAGAAAGGAGAGCTTTTGTTGGAGATCGATTGGATCCTCAAATTATTGTTATATTGGAAAGAATGTTACGACGTGTCAATCCATGGATTCAGTCTTATAAAACAATGGGCGAAATAATTAAAGATTTGCGACGTCGGCATCAGCGTCAGCAACGTGATGATACAAGCAGTGATGACGATGACGATGATAGTGAATTAGGAAATAATGATGATGATCCAGTCAAAGATGTTATTGTCGCATTCAAAGATCGTATCAATGAAAATCTTCGAACACATAACTTACCTACAAGTCGTAGTGATGTCGCTGCAGTTTTTGTTGGTGAAGAACCACCATTTAATGTTGATTTAAAATTATATCATAGACACAGAGAAATTCAACACGAGTTGAAAAATTTAAATCGTATAACTGATCCAATGGTGTATCCGTTGCTCTTTCCTTTTGGTGAATACGGTTTTGATATGTTTGCACGTCACACTGATGCTGCTGTGATACGACGTGAGGAGCAAAGAAATGTTGGCGAACAAAATGAATAAGAGGAAGCAGAAATACATGAAGTAAATAGGCCAAGAGATACACGCAATAAGGTTACATTCCGCGAATTTGATCGTTATCTTCTTCAAATTAGATATATTTTCCATATTACACAATAGTGGAAAACATTTCCAGCAGTATATAGTAGATGCTTGGGTTAAAGCCGAATCCGACAATCTTTGGTGGATAAAGAAAAATCAAAAGACATTTTCCGTTGCTACATACAATTTATTACGAAAACGTTTGCAAGAACGAACAGAAAGAGACCATGTTCAAACCATGGATAAATAAAAAATCTGACATTTTTATGCTTTGACATTTTCCGATTTTTTTTGCAACCAAGAAACTTTGACAAGTGTGCGTTTTATTCCTTTTGAGTGAAATAATGTTCACTTTAGAGCAGAAAATTTTTATTGCTGATTCTCTTGATTTGCATTTGATGCTCTCGGCATTTAAGTGCGGCATTGCAGAAAAAATTATTTGAATGCGACAGATGACAAATTGACATCTAAATGAACAATGGTAAAACCTGTTTCAATCTAAAGAAAATTCTATTCTTCGTTTTTATTGCAACCAAATGGACGACGACATACATTCGTCTCCTGTCAGTTTTTTTTAATGAGAGCACGTTAATATTGCAACATAATTTTATTTATCTGCAAACGTCACAAAAGTGACCACTTTTATAACTAAATGACACAGGTAAAAGTTTTACTTTTCAGACATCGAGTAAAACATGTCTTCCAAATTTTTCAATTTCCCAATTACAAAATAGGATTTCTACATTGCAACAGCCTGGCACCTCTGGCTTAAATTTACAAGCATTAAGAAGTAGTGAATTTCAATTAATCAATAAACCAGTGCAAGAATTAGAGAAAACTTTAATAAATAAAAATGCTAAAGGAAAGAATAAAGTAAAAATTGCTCCCGTGCCTGTAGATATAAATAAACCATCAACACAAGATATATTAGATGACGATGTTAACTATGACAACCAAGAACTTCCTATGAGAAAGATCTGTCTTCCACAAATTTCACCTAGTCGTTTACAAAACAGGATCTCTACATCGCAAAAGGCTGGCACACAGGATTTAAACGTCCAGTATTTCACAGTAATAAATAAATTAAAGATAGTTCTATTATGCATTTTCAATAAAACTATATTTTTGTAGGATGGGCTATTCCGCATGACAAAGACCGGGACAGTGAAGATGAAATTGAAAACACAGAAAATGTGACCTGCAACTGCTGGAACCGGAAATTAAGTAGATGTATCCGGTTTTCGTGATTACTAGTTTAAAAGATATGTTCTCGCAAGTAACTATTCCAAATTTTATAATATTTGGTTAAATGGTTCCGAAGTTATTACAAAAAAACAAATTTCCATAGCCACATTCCGAGGGGTGTAAAATTCTTATCAGTACAGGTAGGACACGAGTTATTATTTAAATTAACATCATTTTATAGCTCAGTTTTGAGGTTCAAATATTGCTTCATATTTGTGAATAGCCCTGTATGTATGTAATGTATGTAAAATACAGGATGAATATAAAGTATGGAATCATGCGAGTTTTTCATTTGTCTTCAGAATGTACCTAACAATTAATATAAATGAATTAATGAAAATAATATAAAAAATGTGATCGTTTTTTGAGAAATTTTGTTTTGTCTTTGAGTTATGCGATTTTTTTTATCAAAATTGCAATTTACATCAAAAATTGGAAAAATCAAATATAAAGAACCTTTATGAGAATAATGGTTTTATAGTGGATTTGAATTTTTTTTATCCGCAAACGTCACAAAAGTGACCACTTTTATGACCAAATGACACAGGTAAAAGTTTTACTTTTCAGACATGGAGTAAAAACACTGTTTTTACGCCTACGCGTTTTCACTTTTACTTGACACTTACTTTGACATTTACCACTGTTGTCTCTTTTGCTTTTTCAGCATTTTCTGGAGAGGTGCAAGGTAGATTATCAGCATTTTGCACTATAAACTACACCAGTTATTCATCAGTTAAATCAATCAACACTTTCGAAATCTCAACACAAATTCCGAAACTGACGCGTGACGTTTCTTAAGATTTTATTGCAAAGCGTCCTGATTATTGAGGTGATTTACTTGATTATTGGTGTGTTGCTCTTTTCTCTCCATCTGAATCGTTTGCAGATAAAATAGTATATGTTATTTGGAGTAAAAGTGAGTTTATGTGGCTCAGCTGAATCCATTTGCCTCACTCCGTTCGGCAAAATGAATGTTCAGCTTCGCCACATAAACAATCACTTTTACTCCTAATAACATATAATCTTACTATTTGTTGTAGAACTAAAAATCAAAATAAAATTTTGAAACATTTTTCCTTGGTAAAATTTTTATAGTACTTTATCAATAACTTTTTCCAAAAAATAAAGAGTTTAAGCAAAAAACATTTGGTTCCATACTTTTTATTCACCTGGTATGAAATAACACAAACTATTTACTCAAACACTAAACGTTTATTTACACTATGCATTTTACCACAACGTGGTGAGAATTAAAAGTGTTTTAAGAATGTACCGCTTTATCTTGAGTACCTACTTTCAGTATTAAAACTTTAGCAACTTATAATTCACAAAATGTTTTATTATTGGTAGGATGATTCTTTATCGTTCAATTTATAAACCCACACAAAATGTATCTTCATTGTTTGAATAATCATAAAATATGAAATTCTCTGTGTTGCTATATTTAATATTCACAAGATTTGAAATAAATTATTGTAATAGTAATGTTTCGTCTACGAGTAAGTAAGAATATTAGGTATGTCTTCACTACAATAAACATTTTTTGTTTGTTTTTTTTTTGTAGAATGTGAGGAATATGGAAAAGCAGTTTATGTGCAAAGTTTTAGTCCAGTGTTATCTGTAAATGCCCAAAAAAATGTTGTGTCCGAATGTGGAATAGTATCAGTGCCACTAATAGTTGGAGGAACATCTGCTTCTGAAAAAGAATTTCCTCATATGGTAAAAATGTTTATTCCAATTTTGTCTACGTTAAGGTGAGCACCTTGTAGGCTGTGATTGGGTATGGGGAGACACCAGAATCTAAGCTAGGATGGGATTGTGGAGGCACTTTAATTAGTGAATTATACGTATTAACAGCTGCTCATTGTTTAGAAAGTCGAGAATTGTAAGTTAATGTATAAAACTAGCTATAAACTTCTTTTTTTAGTTTTTGCTTAGAAAATTATTTTTTTTAATTCTTCCCTTTCCTAGAGGTCCTTCTCAAGTTGTTCGGCTGGGTACTATACATTTAGATGAGCTGGATCCAGACGTGCAAGAACGTGTAGTTATTGAAAGAATTCGTCATCCTGATTACAAACCGCCATTAAAAGCAAACGATATAGGTTTAATTAAACTGCAGGATCCTGTAGAATTTACACCATACGTGCGACCAGCTTGCTTAAATACAGCGGATATTAATCCTGGGCGAAAAGGACTAGCATCGGGGTTTGGAAAATTATCGTATGGTAACAAAATGAAACTTGCTTCTCAAACAGTTTCTATTTGGTTAAAAATTTCAGATGCAGAAACCGGAAGTAAGAACTTAATGAAAGTATTGCTTAATATTTATCCCAACAATCGATGTTCAAAAGCTATTTCACTACGAGAAAAGATAAAAGATACAATGTTGTGTGCTGGAAAGATGGAAGGAGGTAAAGATACTTGCCAAGGAGACTCAGGAGGTCCATTACAAATTGTATTGGAAAAGCCTTATTGTATGTACAGTATTATCGGGGTTACTTCTTTTGGAAAGTTTTGTGGTTTTGCTAATGCACCAGCCATTTATACAAAAGTTTCCGCATATGTTCCTTGGATAGAAAGTATTGTATGGAAATAAAAAACTAAAAATAGATTTTAATTAGTAATGACAGATAAATGCAGTTTCTTTTCTGGGTTTGAATCAAAAGGAATAAAAATTTGTACATAGGTTAAGAGTTATGTTAAGAGTTTTTTAAATAAATGGATGTAACCAAACTAAACAATGGAGATGGTTTTCGCGTTGATTAACTTGTACGACTGATAGAAGCATAACCAGAAGAGTGTTCTGTTTTTATTGTTACAAATTTAAATAGATGATAGAATATTCAATTAAATGAAAGTGGCAAGAAACTACAGCCAAAATAATTAGAGTACTTTTCACGCTAAACCCACCCAGTTTAGGAAGGCCCTGATTTCTGATTAAAAATTTCAACATTTTATCTTTAAATTCGTTTAGGTGTATAAAGATTATCATCTGTACCAAATTTTGTAATTTTATCTAAAATTGTTTCGGAAATAATGGAAAAAATCCATCAAAAAACCCACCCCTTTGAGGGGGTGTAGCTCCCTTGCGTACCACTTTTCGATACATGTTTATAGGGAACTTTTGTCTTAAAATTGAATATTCTATCTCCTGTTTAAATTTGTAACAATTGGTAACAAAAGCGGAAAAGCTCTGTATAAGAAAAATTAAAGTTACTCCGAAATATTAAAAAATTTTTTTTTACTACTTCGTCAAACATTTTAACTAAAAATCACATGTGACCAAAAAGTTCGAAAACATTTAGGTACCTACATCTTTAAAAAATTTTTTTAAGTATACAGGGTGTATACTTAAGATTGTAAAATACTTAAAGAGGTAATAATATGGACCAAAATAAACAAAAAATCTTAATATGAGTTCGCAAAGTAACGGTTTCGGAGATATCGAATGTGAAAATTTTTAGAATTTGTACTAGAAGCTTCTCTTTTTTCTTTGAACAAACTGCAAATAAACGTTTCAAAAAACGAATAATTTTCGATGTTACTTTGCGGACTCATCTTTATTAAGACATTTTTGCTTGTTTTGGTGTATACTATTACATTCTGAAATATTTTACAATCGTTTTCTAAGACCCTGTATTTAGAGTTTTCGTTTTTTGGAACTTTATTTGTTTTTAATTTAATTTTCAAAATCTTATTTTTTCAACATTTTTTCCACCACTATTGCTATTTAAAATATGTAAATCATGTTAACTTTATATTTTGTTAAACACATATACTTAATCGTGGAGGGAGAAACAACTGGAGATAGCGTGCCCTATACTGGCAATGTTAGGTTCTTCGTCGAGCTGCAAACACCTTCTACGACCTATTTTAATTTTAATTATTTTAAACCCCGTGTAATCACTAATCAGTAGGCAAGTTAATAGTTGTTTTTCGAATCAGCTGATAGGCTTTTCATTATATAATATTGTGTCCGTGTTTTTCACCCTGTCTTTTGATTTTTATATTTATTAACTTTGTTTTACACAGCTTTTTTAAATAATCTGCCTAGTTTTAAGTATCAGTGTTAATTGTTAATGTTAATCGGTGGTGTATTTAGTTACTCGTATTTAGTTAACTGAATGTAAAAAACCTTGACTACACCACTGCATCCAAATTGGTAGTGGGGGAAAAATCTTAAGCGCGCACTTTGAAAAAGGATCATAAAAGGTGTTTGGGGATGGTACAGGTTAGCAGTGCTTATGTTGGTGGTTATGCTCCCTCCAGTTGTTTCTCCCTCCACGCATATAACACATAAAGATAAAACTGGCGACAAAGTCATCAGAAGGAAGATTCTAATTCTAAAAGTGCGCAAATTCTTATGAGTTCGTTAAATTTTTGACTTTTGACTGAAAGTAAATCATAAAAAATCGTATAGTTTAGCGTAGATTCATTCATATTTTGAAATCTTCTAAATAGGTACATTTTTCTCCAATGAAAGTTTTAAATAATTATGGTAAAGTGCAAATTTTAAACTTTTTGGTTATAATCGGCACAGTTATACCTTTATTATACTGGATGTCCGGAAAAAACGTTGAAAGATTTCTGGGGGTGGTTCCCTAAATCAAGAAAAACGATTTTTATGGACGTATCTCCGAAAAAGTTTTCTTCTACCTAGCCTTCTAAAGGTGGCGGATAAAAAGCCTTTTTTTGATTATCTCATTAACCGGTGATCATTTTACAAAAGTTTGCATCTGGAGTATTTTTTTGGAACTGAATCTATTGGTAATATCAAAAATTGTATACCCTGATTAGGGGAGCACTGGGGTTAATCTATTTAAGGCGTAAAATTTTGCTTTGGATGAAGGTTTTTGAAATCTTTTTGACAGATTCGGATTTATTGGCTAATTTTTTTCCAAAAATTGTTTTTGTTATTTTTGTATGACAACCCACCGTTTTCGAAAAAAAGAAAAAAAAACAGATTTTCTTAAATTGTGCACCGACCTTAATTCTGAAATGCAACTTTCGTTGTAAGTTTTCTCATATGAGGTTAAATTTTCACTCTAGCTCCCGCAAGAAGCATTTCCTGACATGGGTTCGTAGCAACTTTTTTCTTAATTTGACTTAGGTAACTACCTCCCAAAACCTTTCAATGTTTTTTTCCAAACGTCCTGTATGTTAGTTAATTGTGGATAAAATATCAGTATTGTTTTCGAATTTTTGAGGTTTTTAGTCCATTTTGTTTAAGTATATGGAAAAAAAGTATTTGGTGTAAATACAATTTTCGGTATTGTTTTCGTCGAAAAACATTTTTGTCACTATATTTTTGAAGTAAAACGGGTTTCTGAAAATTATAAAAGAACAACACCGAATTTATTTATTTTTATTGCATTTGTATTAAAAAAGAAACATTCTATCAGACCGAGGGTGCCCCTCTGTACGCACTCACAAATTAATCCTTGGATTTATGCAGAAAGTACCTGTGATAAAACTCTTGTGTTGTAAATGAAAACGAATTATGAATGTTCCAAACACGAAAGTTATAAAAGATTCTTATTAAAAAAAAAAAATAAGAATAATTATATTATTATTATAGGTGAAAGATTATTAAATAAATTGTGTTTTATTTTAATCAAATAGTGAGTGACACTAAAAAGAAAATAATGAATTATAACCACTAATTGACACCTTATTTAACCTAAGTACACACCAAAATAACAGTATTCCAATTATGGATGTCACAGTAATCATTTTAATAGTATGTTGTCTATTTCTACCAAAAATTAAGACTTGTTCTATACAAATAAATCATTTGAAAAAACATTTTAAACAAGTTAAAACTGCTAGAATAATGATATTACAAGATGAGAATTTGGTAACAGATTGGTTGATTATGGAATTGATAAAAAATTACAAAATCACTGTAACAGTTCAAAGAGAAATAAAGAATTTTGAACCCAATAATCCCAGCAATATGAGCAGATTTGATGCACTTGAATTTAACGATTCCATCACTGCTTTCAAGAGTGACTCAAGTTGCGGCCATTTAATTATTGTCAAAAACGAAGAGATATTGTACAAATTCCTGAAGTCCGACCCTGGTTTATTAGTACCAAACCCTCGGCATTTTTATTCAATTGTTACAATGGAACCCATTGAAAAAAATGTTTTAGCTGAATTTTGGTCACTTCAAGTTTCAAACATTTTGGCACTTACTTGTGGATCCAGTTACACTCTTTCACCATTTAATAGTACCACTGTTCGAATTGGTACTTACACAAAAAGGAAATTTCAAACAAATTTTCACAATTACATGCTTCAAGTTTCAATGCAACCAAAACCGCCAACGGCAATTCTCGAACTCCCTAAATTACTTCGTGAAAATCCTGTTTATAAAAGTTTGATACCGTTTAAAGATTACGGTGGGTTAGATGGTTGCCTTTTAAAGACACTAACCCAACATTTAAACATTAGATATAACATTGTCGTTGGTGATATCCAAAGTAAGAAATATAGAAAAGTACTCGGAAATGACACCACGACTGGTACTTTATCGTTGGTTGCAAGTAATAATGTACAAATTAGTGCAAATGGACGTTTTTTGATGAATTATGGTACCAACAAAATTGAATTTACGGTACCTTATAGTTCGGATCAAATTTGTGCAGTGGTACCAAAAGCACTAAAAGTACCTAAAATAATTATGTTGGCAAGAAGTCTAACATTATCGTCATGGTTTATGCTTTTTCTTATTTATATCATCTGCATCTTAATTTGGAATTTAATGGGTAGCACAGAAAGTACTTGGTGGATTCTTTATGCAATTTTTCACGGATTTCCAGTCAAAATCGTACCATCTTCCCGACAATCATTTTTCCTAACTTCATGCCTGTTTTTCAATATTATTATTATCACTTTAATCCAAGGAAGTTTTTTCAAAACTTTTACGACAACTACATATTATAAAGATATAAATACGTTAGAAGAACTCGACGAGTCAGGGTTACCAATAGCTGAAACTTTCTTCACTTACATAAATGATAAATCTAAAATTATGACACATTTAAAACACAAAAAATTAGTCATTAATCAGAAAAATATTCTCGAACAAGTGGCCTATAAACGTAACATTGCAAAACTAGAACGAAAGAGGGACATTAATGTACGACTCAAAACGGAATTTTTAAACGACAAAGGGGAGAGTCTTTTGCATCTTGTCGATGAGTGTTTTACCACATTTTTCATCGGATTTACTGTACCAAAAAATTCGATTTTTTTGCCAACTTTTAATAGCGTTATTCGGAGAATTTTCGAAAGTGGGTTGACTCAAAAGTGGTATGGTGATGTTGAGTACAGTATATTTTTAGAAAAAATTTTTAAACTTGAAAATAAAAAACATAATTCGTTTTCTTTTGATAATATTGAATCAGCTCTCTTTTTGCTACTTACTGGTCTTTTCTTTGCTCTATTAGTATTTGTTTGGGAGGTAACTAGAAAAAATAAATTACCTTGATTCAAGCCTCTCTTATTTCTTGTAGGTACTTATTTCTTGAGATCATCATAGTATTTCATAGGAAAAGATTTGGAACAAACAGTTTTCAATCTGTAGATCAGTTTATTAACAAAAATCGCATATATCGGCTAAAATAATAAGGAATTACAATATAAAACACCATAATAGTATAAACATTCTCATATCAATCAACGATGTGTCTTTTAATATAATGAAGACGAAATAATACAATCGAAAAATAATATTGCATATATACACAAAAACATAAAAAAAAACAAAGTATACAATACAACAAACGATAAAACTGCACTCAAATATTGCAAGCAAATCGATTCTATAGCACAGGCTAGAGGACTAAAACTAAGCAAGGAACTACCAGTGTCTTAAGCAGCTGTACAAATAAAATCTACTTAACCAATTCATCGAGTTTTCAAAAATAATAAAATTATACATAGTTATAACAAAAAAAACATTATACTTAGTAAGCATTCGATGTGTTAATATTTATATCAGTCTTTTTCTAACATAGCTACCTAAGTTTTCAACAAACAAAATATATCTTAACACTTTCTCATATCTTGCACTATCGTTGTTTGGCACTTGTAATTATTATCAACACTATAATTTATTTTAATCGCAGTATATCACAGATTCAGTCACAGTCCAGCACCGTTAAATCAACAATTTAAAAAATAATGAAACTCGGTGGATCAAGGGACTATTCCAGAGGTATGCAGTCATCGAATCCGCCATAGGATTGTTTCGTTTGGCAATTATGAATTCACGGAGATTATGGGTCCCTGAAAATCAATAAAAATTGTTAATCTGTTGTTTTATCAATTAATAATTTGTAAAAATTAACTTTATTAACTTATTATTAACTTTGTAAAAAAATAGACAAAAGAATAGTAAAAATAGAAAAATCACAAGGGATACTTAATATGGCGTAATTGGCTACTATTGCGTTACTTGAAAGTACCTCAATACTCTAAATTCATATCAATAAATTAATGAAGTTAATTATAAGTACATATACGAGTATTCAATCTGGATTCTTACAATGTTTCTTTAACAGTAAGTTTTTTTCCTATAACCCATATACAACCAAATGACAATTTATTATAAATTTTTACAAACTATGTTAATTAATAAAATTATGACTTATAATGAGAGTAAGACTTCCATTTAACTGCTATTTCTCGTGTCTTTGAATTACTTTACAAATTTGAGTCCCACTTTAGTTTTAACTTTCTACACTTATTGACATTTCAGAAATAAATATTGAACTTGGCAATTAACAACTGACGCTTGAACAGACTACAGCAGTACTTATGAACTAATGTTTAGTATGTGGTTAAAAGCATCTTTTACACACTTCTAGCAGTAAAAGAATTTTTATCGCTAGAAATTATTTGCATAGCCTTCAATTTATTACTTGCAAAATTAACAAATGCTCAACAATGAATAAATATTTAAAGAAATAATTTAAAAAATTATGTGGTTTAGTTAAAAATGCACTTAAAAAATTAATGTCTAGTTATACATATTAAAGCAAAGGCGAACAAAATAGTAGCCACCAATATCATTTTTAAATTTGGCGGGACTGTCACAATTTTAAGATCCCATCCATTTTGTTCTAATATAAGATCTGTTTATAACCAGGTTTTTTTTAATTCACTGTCTTTGCACATTAGCATTTCTTAAACCAAGCCGCAGGTGTTTATACGGTAATGCTAGAGGTTGGTCTTGAACTGTTTCTATGCTTTACTTGGTATATTACGTTCGATTGCTAATTAATAGTTCCATATAATTAATATTCATTTCAAAAAAACTGGGTAGTTTTTAGAGGGTCTAATTCATGTATTAAATAAATATTTTCTCTTACCATTACAAGATGTTTGCTACACATTGGTTGAAACTCAATAACTTTTCCAAATCCTTGAAGGTTCACCAATAGGGGCTTGAATTGTCCAGATGTGTCCAACTAGCAAATTCAGACCATGAATCAAGTTTGGCTTGTATGGCATCAGTACATTTTGACATTACTGAAGAAACAGTCTCATGTGTTTTCTTGTAAAATTCCTCTGAGGAGGATTTATATATTTGCTGATCTTGAGTTTTTTTTATTATTACATAATTTTTCCCATCGTTGTTATCCCAATATTCATTTTCATTACAACGGAAACACACACAAAATTCAACTTTCTTCGCTCTAAGACGTAAAGGTATTTTAAACGAAAAAGTATCGTATAAGACGTAGGCAGGACTGACAGAAGAACTAGCATTTGGAACAAAGTTACAAAAAGCATCTTCAAATGTTTTCCAGTTATCAGACGATATGCGAACAACGACTTCTTTTTGGTAGGAAATATTATTCACTTTCACTGTTCCCACGATGAGGTTTTCTGGTTCTTTGACGATTACATTCTCCAACGACACCTAGAATAAAAATTAATTTTTACTTAGATAAAAAAATTAAATGGAAGCAAGTGTTGACAATACAGAAGCAAAAGGAGGGAAAAATAGACCACGCTAACAGAAATGAACAACGTAACCAGTAAATTAAAAGTTATGCCTCCAAATGAGATAGTAGAAAAATGTAAAAATTTAGACTCTTAATTCTACCAATCCCAGAAGGGTACCTCAGGCTGTGGTTGAAAAATTATATCCATTGCTAGGTTACAAAAATAATACCAATTTGCCTACAAGTTTCAAAAAATAAAAAAATGCCAACGTTAAGACTGTTTGGCATTTCCATTAAAAAAAAAAACAGACTTTACATATTGAAACAACTTTTGTGCTACCATCTCATTGGTCGAAAAAGTGGGCGGTCCTGGGATCTTTATTCGATGCGTGAACTATAACTTTATTAATTACCGGTCGCTATGAAAATGAAATCATGTGTAACGCAAATTTGCCATTTGGTTCATTGAATGGTCTGTTGAATACAATTCGTAGTCAAAGATAGTAGAATATTTTTTATTATTCGTGGTATTATAACTAAATATTCCACTCGTGAAAATATAACTGACTATTTCCTTTGGAAAATTTCATCCAATTCCTATTAATTCATATTTCAGAAATCACCCAGCAACGAACGAATATCATCGAGTATTCGAATACCCGGGTATTTGCACACGTGCATAGAGTGAATATTTTTAATATTTTCAAAACATTTGCGCTGTTAGTTACCAAAATGCATTTATTGAGTTATATTACAATTATATTTATATTATTATACATATTATATTTTTATATCACAATAATAGTTACAGTTATTATTGAAAGTACAATCTCGATTTTTTGATGGAAATTCGTCGAAAAGTAATTATTTTTTATTATTTCTATTATAAAATCCCTACGAAATTTTTTGAGACCATCTTTTTTTTATCGAATAAATTTTTGAATTTTACTAAAACTTTTTTTCATGACAATTTGACAAGTTAAATTTGGAAATTTATATTCTGATTAAAGCCCAGCTACGCTTTGAATATAAATTTCCAAATTTCAACGAGTAAAATTGTCTGAGACAAGAAACTTTTGAGTTGAAACTCATAAATTTATTCCATAATAAAAACAGTGGTCGAGTTATATTTGATTATATTATTTCCAAAAGCACTTAATAAATAAAAATTAATAAATTAAAACTCATCTGACATGAGGACAAGAAGATTAATCACATCAAAGACAGCAGGAAGAGAAGTATTATCGCAAAAGACGCTTATGATTGGATGACGTATTGGTGGAAATTGTAAATTTGTCATGTGTTGGAAATATTCCTCGATATATCCCTCTTGCATGCCATACACTCGTAAAAATATTCGCGTATTTGGCATGCACTCGGGATATAACTACTGAACATTTTTATAGATTTTTTTTTATTCTTAAATTTGATTCTTAAATAGACCGACAAAATTTTATCCTTGGTAGTATCAAATGAGAACATGCTGGAAAAAATATTTAAAAAATTCTTTGTTTAAACGTTCTTCAACTAAAATTTATTAAAGTTATTTTCGAAGTAAAGCGTACGCCACTGATGTGTTAGCACAGGTAGTGGTAATCATGGTATTAACGTACTTGATTATTGCAACAATTCATAAACGCCGTAAGTGGCACGGATCAAGGGGGTTTTGCCCCTAAAAGGTATAAACATAAAAAGGGTAAACTTTGTCTCCATTTATCTTTAGGAAGATGTGATAAAAGTTTGTCGGTCTATTTAAGAATCACCCTGTATAGAAATTATGTGTTTTATAGTAATTATTGGAAGGAGAAAACAAGAAACCAAAGATAGCAGATATGATCAAGATATAATTAATAATAGAGGCACCCGAAGAAATTAAACAACAACAAAGATGTGAAAAATAATAAAAAGATTAAAGAACGAAAAGGCGGCTAGAGAATACGGATCTTAGAACAAAAAATAAATTTATTACGGAGAAGGGAGTTATTGATAAACAGAATTAAAGCAATAATAAACAAATCGCTTGAATACATGTTACAAAGTTTTTTGTACAATAAAAACTTAACTTTGATAAAAAAAATTGAATAAAACTATTGCTTACCTTCTTTGTTTCCAAAGTTTTCCGAAACTGTACGTAATCGGACGCTGGCTGTGGAAACGTACACTCCCAGGGCTCGTCAACCACTTCCGGTTCTGCTGAAAGGCCTTGTGTGACTTCGGCCAAAAATCTGTAACTCCAAAGTGGTGGCACGTTCGAAGGTTCTGTCATGACTCGTACATGTGTCAAAGACATTCCCTTATCATCGGCAAACACCACTTTCTTTTTTAGACGGGTGGGACTTGTGGGGTCTTCGTCGTTGCATACAGAAGTGTCGTCGGGACGTATAACCAAACATGGACGTTTTGGTGAAGCAGGCATTTTGAAAAAGCTTTTGTTGGAAAAAGTTTGGGCTGTAGACGGTTTAGATGATCGACAGGGTCGTGGGATGTGGTCAATGTTGAAACGAAAAGAAGAAGTGTAGTCGGAAAGATATCCTGTTGGAGGGCTGTGGCTAAACACCGGCGGACTGTGTGCCACCAACATTTCATAAGCTACTGCAGGACACATTGGACGCTGAAATAAAAAAAAGATATGAGAGAGTTGTTTCCCACGTGGGTTCGACATTTGCTGGCAAAGCGTTAATGTTAAATTCTTATGGTTATAAAATTAATCTTGTTTTATAATGAAAATTTTGATTATAACTGATGACTAAAAACATACGTCAGTAGTTCCCACCTTTTGCAATTAAATTATGTTTATGAATTTTTAGAATGATTTTTTCACTATATTTTTGACTGTTCTTTTTTCTCTGTTCCAACTATTATATGTATACATTTTTAAAGATTACAAAATTACATTCCTATAACACTTAAAAAATCATTGATCTAATAATAAAAGCGTGGAGGAAGAAATAACATTTCTCCTTTCAGAGAAGGGAATGTAATGTATCGACTCACCGTCAAAGTTTAAGAAACTGAAAAAAGAGACTTCTTTTTTTCTTTGGGAAAACATCTTATGCCATAAGAGATAAGAAGAGAACACGTTTATAAATATTATTATTACAGGCTGACCCAAAAATAAGGCACAAAATTTTGTTATGGGCCATTTAAAAAAAATCCTCGAACAGATCGAATTAATTTTTATAAACGCTACATTTTGAGAGTATTGTAACATTTATGACGTCATTGAATTTTGAGTAATAACAATTTTTTTTTAATTTCAACCAACATTTTTTAAATGTTTTTGGTAGGAGGTCCTTTTTCTCTGTCTTTCTGGTGATTATAAAAAACTGAATATTCCTTAAGCAATTCTTGGAAAAACGAAGTTTTAAAAAACTTGTTGGATAATTCGTTTTTATAAATAATTAGGAGTACACGAAAACACTTGAAACTTTTTTATTCCTGACAAGTGTGCATACGTCTGTTTTGTGCCTTTCTGAAACGGTCTAAACCTTGTCTATTAAATGCAATGGCACGTTTAAGTGAAAGAGAAGACGTAGAAATTTTGATGATGTTTGGGTATTGTGATAGGCTGTGAACTCATCAGGAAGCCTGTGATATTTTCAATAACAAGCATCCAGAAAAACAAATTTCTAGATCTACTGTCAGTAGATTGGTGGCTAAATATGACGAAACTGGCAGTGTAGCTAAACTCCCTCGTCTAAAAACGACAAAACCAAATTAAATGTCCCCTAAAAAGTGAGGAAAACCATCATTTTTTAATAAGGCAGCTGACTTTAAATAATGACTTGGGCCAGAGTTCCTTTGTACATTTATTCAAGGAAAAAAATATCATCCATACAAAGTTCAATTAAGTAATCCACGAATTAAATCAAGACCATCCAGATCGGCACTCACAGTTTTGAGAATACTTATTAATGACGTTGTGCGATTGTAACCTAAATTTCTTAAAGAACATTGTTTTTTGTAATGTGGCTACATTTTCTTTAAAAGGGACTGTAAATCGGCACAACTGTGGGTTTTGGTGATGCGAACGAAAATCCTCATTGGACTCACGAATGTACGGGTTGGAATCATTGGCCATCGTTTAGTTGGACATTATTTTTTAACAAAATCTTACGGCCGCAAGATATTTAGATTTTTTGCGATTTGATTTAGTGATAGCTTTAGCAACTATTTTCCCGAACAATGAAAGTGAAGATCTTCCCGCTGAAAATATTTGGTTTCAGCAAGACGGGGCGATAGCACATTTTGTCAGTTTTAATGGTTACAGGGTGTCAATTTGAGCAATTGCGCTAATTTGTTTTACTAAATTATCCGTGACAGATTTCTGTTTTTTTAGAATAAATTTTTCCAATAAATGACATGTAGGTATAACATTTTTTTTTATAATTACCAGAAAGCTATGTAAGGGAATGTTACCTACTATCAGTAAAACATTAAAAAAATACTCAAACTCCAATGAGGTTGCTGCAGAGTTAAAATATACCTAGCATTTATAAAAATAATCGACCTGTTCGAGAATTTTTTGAAAATGGACCCATAACAAAAATATGAATTTTGTGCGTTACTTTTGGTTCAGTTTGGATTAACAAATTTATTTGTATAATTTTTTGTTTCATTAAGGCCCAGTTTCTAAACCGCTTTAACTCCGGTTCAAGACTGTTTTTTTATAACGGAAATTACAAAGTAAAAATTTTAATGAAAACATTGGCGCCATTTATTTTCATGTACCTACACAAATTTAGTTTGTTCTTTGTTTTTGTCACTAACGAAAAGTCTCCATACAATAGCATAAAAGCTATCCATGAAGTGGTTTTGATTGTGAACGAACCATCGTATTGAAAGTTATTAATCTGAACATTCGTCACCTCGCCCGGTGTATTTAAAATTGTAGTCACGGCGAACTTTGAAATCAAATTAAAAAAACACCCGTTATAATCTTTTATTCACAATGACTAATGTAATATGCCGATTACTAACCTTTTAAAGGTTGGGAAACAACATTAAACCCCGTGAGCAATAATATCATTTTATCTCTTGGGTGGTAATATACAGGTTTACTCGTCAAGATTTCAAAAATACCGGGAATTTTGTCTTTCAAATTGTCGAGTTACGCATAATATTTTGCTAAATTAGTATTCAATGGCTTCTGTAGTAGTTTTTCTTACTTCTGGGGGACTACACTACTCAATTTCAACAATTTTATTATCAAATTCACACATTATTTCAATATTTTCTTTGACATTTCTGAAATGTCAAAAATCAAACGCAATTTGGATGGCCTACCACTTTATAATTTTATTTTATTTAAATTTTTGACTAAAAATAATGTGATTGTGAATAAAATAGCCTACCAACCTCGGTGGTAATGGCATTACCCCGTGTGCATTAGCGATCTCGAGGCTCGAGGCTCTCAATCGTATACATAAACACTCGGGTTAATGCCATATTTACCACCTCGTTTGTAATGTACTATAAATACTCTATATATTTAGAATCCATAAAAACAGACTGCAAATAATGTTATGGGAAAAAATCAGTATAAAAAATATTTATTACAAATACAGGGTATTTCACGAGTCATAATGAGCCTGACGGAATTGAAAATACAAACCACAATACATTTGCAAAGTTAACGTGGATATTTAAGATATCGCATTTTTTGAAAAACCGAATTATGAATCAACGATAACTTTGCTTCGATAATTTTATTTGTCACAACCATGACACAACTGACATTAGCAAAATTTCAAAATGCATTCGAACGATGAGAAAACAAATCTGATTCTCATTTATGGCGAATTTGGGAAAAATGCTTCTTTTGTAAAGACAATGTTTCCTGTATAGAAAAGCTCCAAAAAGGCCTGGAAGTGTTTTCCAATGGTAGATAGACAATAACCTTAAAAATTGTGTTTCCTGTCTTGTCAATTTCTTTGTGTCAGTCACGCGATAACTATAATATATTCACTAGACTCCCGACATGTCAAAATGACATTAAGTTAGTTAAACAAAAAGTCACTATGGCTATGTTGGTGACAACTTCACTCAAAGTTTAACAACCTGGTCGCTATCACTTGATTTGAAATGATTTAATTATTATCATTGGTGAATGTGCCGTGTATCATGGCAACTGACATCAAGTACAGTCAGATGAAATAATAGTCATCTGTGTCGTTTGGGATACACTCAAAAATTTTGGTTTGACATTGTAAAGTCACGGGAGTTTTGTGAATACATAATATGTTTTATTAATTTTAAAATTCATAATCAAAATCCATTAAGCCTATGCAAATGTATTGTTGGCTGCAGTTCAAATGTGGTCAGGCTCATTATCTATCACTCATGAAATATCCTGTATGTATATGTCTGTCAAGAGAAATGCACAAATAGAAACGAGAATAACTTGAATCTAATGACATATATGTTTGAATTGACAATCAAGTTATTCAAGTAGGTGATAGCAAACGTGCTACGCTTTGAATATGTAGGAAATGAAATAGGAAATATATGTACGCACCTATATGTTTGAGATATTTTATGTAGGTGCAGAACTCGTTAACTCAAACAGTTAACTCAAGTAACAAAATGGTCCATGTAAATATGTAGGTGCAGCTACTACACTTATAGAGTAACAAAGAGACATTTTAAACTATTTATAATTATGTTTAATGTGTTTTAATAAAAATCAGTAAAAATTTATTAAAAGCTAAGTTTTTAATATTCTGTAAAAAAATTCCCACTGAATATCCCAACTACGTACACACTTATTGAACTCTAAATGTGGCTGTAGTTTTGCCACACCTGTACCGTCGTTAAAAGCAGAAAAGTAATGGAGTTGTAATACTGTACTCTTCTGTTAGAATAACTAATCAAAGATTAAACAATGGTAATAAAATATTATGTAGCAATAAAAGTTAGTACCTCTTATGAGAGAAACAAACACCTGAGGCGGCAGTGCGCTGCTCTTGTATTGTTTTCAATTAAAAGTTGACGTTATTTATTGTACACGTTCGTCAGTTTTATGCTTTGAAATACAATTGTGTGTGTTGCACTAATGAAATATTGTATAAAATATAGATCAGACTCGTAGGTAGACATTCCTGTTATATTCATAATCAAATGAGGTAGAAAAAGACTCTACCTTTCCATATATGGCTGGAGGCGTTCTACATCAATTCTTTGCCATTGAAATGATTCTTATCATCAGCGTTTCATTAATTTAAAATTGACAATTATTACGATTCTTATTTTGATACTGATAAGCTGGGTTTGTGACCGAATTAAAAATAATACAGAAACTAGACTCGAAAACAAACTGCATGCGTGACAGCTTCATGATTCTTGTATGAAAATGAAGAAATAACACTACGTTCTTTGAAAGACAGGTTTTACTTCTTATATAATTTGTAAGTCTGTCTAAAACCCTCCATTGTATTAACCTTTAAGTAAGTAAAACTAAGGTGAACCGGGGATTTTATTAACTTGAAATATGTTAATCTATAAATAGTAACACATCTACAAGTTCATCGAATCAGCCAGTTACTGCATGCACATGAAGATTGAAGACCTCAAAATAACTTGCCCGGAATAAATTATTGATCCCCACTACTACTGTCTCGTATCACGCGACATCAAAAGGGAATTTCATAAGATGAAAGAATTTCTTAGACAAAATTTTTAGCATTGTTATCGATTGTTTTATCAATTAGGGATTATTTTGAAGGAGTATTTTTTTAGAGATTAGCTGAGCCATATCAAATGACAATATAAGAGCACTTGCTGATATTTTGTCCTGAATGAAATAAGATTAAGCTATTTTTATATATCGAATGTCTAGAACGTACAACTTTCTTATTATATCCTAAAGATAGAAAGGAACTAAAACGACCGATAATAAACTTAAACTTAAAATACCTAAATGCTTAATACCTAGTACCTATAGATATGAGAAAACCCGTGAAACGTAATTTCAGATTCCATATACCTTGTGAACAGAAAGGACCAAACGTTTTTTGCCTAAAGTATTTATTTTTTTTGAAAAAACTAATTGATGAATTTTAAAGTACTATAAAAATATTAAGTTTCTTAAGAATAGAAACTTTCGAATTTGAGTTCTACAAAAAAATTACTTTTGAACTTAATTATTACTACTGTTGATTTCGAAACATTATGACGTCTATCACATACACGTGAATTACAACCCATAACCTATAACACACGTGTGTGTTATGCTTTATGTATAAAATATTTTTGAATAAAACTTAGACAATTTGTTCAATAAATTTATTAACATTAGTATTGACGCTCACATTCTCACATTCACAGCATTTGTGACTGGAGCCCTCGTGTTTAAAAATTCTTGTGCGAATAAAATACTTTTTCTATTTCGGTGTTAGAATAAGTCTATTCCAGCACCTTCTGCAACTTGTACTTTAATATACTATTCTAAAACACTTAAAGTCTGTTTTTTTTTAATGGAAAACCAAACAGTCTTAACGTTGGCACCACTAGTAAATTCATTCATGGTAATTTTAATGAAAAAAGTTGGCAGTTCCGGTTTTTTGAATTAATTAAACGTCAACACAAAAAATCGTCTAAGAAATTTTAGAGACGAAACACCAAAAAAAGAACAAATTCGGTACCGCAAACAGTTTTTAGAAATATGGAAATGTTCGTCAGCAGGAAGTTAGAAAAAGGGTCCGTTAAAATGTAGACGCAATTTGTAATGCAGGTTTGCTAAACATTCTCAATTTTTAGCAAAAAATTGACAAGAATACAAAATAAAGATGAATGAGAAAGAACTTCGGAAAGAAGGAAATTAAATTAGTGTCTTGTGCATCGTTTGTGAGGAATTAGTTGAAAAAGTAACAATTTTGAAACTAAAGCTGAAGAAGAATTTATAAACTGCATCGACTTTGAGCTCATTTCAATAAATTACACAAAATTTATTGCGAATCATCATAATACCTACTTGTATCTTTTGCTAAATAACTTTTTTCTGTATCCTTTTTCTTCAAAGTTTTTGTAGCAAGATTTTCATCTTTGTCCACAACATTGTACTTACTTGCGGTGTGTTTCTATCAAAATTATTAGCACTGAATTCTGTCTTTAGACCTTAGGTAATGATGTCTGTTCTCAGGTATTTAATTATAGCGCTTTCAAAGAGCAAACAGACACACAAGATTCATAAAAGTCAAATTTTTGACAACATCTCAATTTGAAAACATAATTTTTTAACAAAATTTCTAGGGACAAAAACTACGGATACCTAACAAAAACAAAGAGCAAACAAAATTTGTGGCTATGGAGACAAGCTACTACCAATTTTTTCACCAAAATTTTGACTTAGTAATTTCCATTTAAAGAAAAAACAGACTTTATACTATAAATAACTACTAAATGGCATCCCACAATTATGTCAAAGTTACAACTACTAAACGTCGTTTTTCGTTAAAAGTTTAGGTTAAAAAATTCGTAGCTTCTCATATATTCTCTAAAAGATCCGTTTTAACAATCATTCCAAAATTTTATGATTATTCTATCACTACAGTGAACGGGAATCATAATTTTTGTGTTTTAGGTCTGTTTATGTTATACTGTTAATCTCAATTATTAGTAGTAGTAGTGCAAATTTTCAGTGTTACGTTGGTAATACCATGTTTGTATTTATTTAAAAAAAATTTTAACCATGCATTTAGATTTTTACGTTCTATTCGAAAATAAATAGTTCTGAAATAAAGTTGAAGTAACTCAACTTTTATGTAGTAGAGGCAGAGGATTGTAAATTTTTTATGTGATTTGTGGCAACATGGGCAATTAACTACCTAATTTATGTCTTGAAATTAGAAAAAAAATACACAAAAATACAGGGCCAGTCATATATAATAAAGACCCTAACCGATTTTCAGACGCAACCCAAAATACATTCTCAGATACCACTATGCATTAATTGATGTTTTGTTTGAAATTTTTGAAAGATATAAACATAGATACCTGTGATAGCTTTGTCAATTTTTATAAGTTGGAGTCCTACCGTGTACCTTTGACGGTACAGATTCAGCCACAGCATTTTTGTAGCATTCGCCATTTATCAAGATCAAGGCAGTTTTTTCGTCGTTTAAGTAGGTACATTTTGAATTCAAGGAAAAATAAAGTGGAATTTTTGACACTGTCAAATTTAAGTAATGACATATCAACAATTACTTTGATTTAAATTTAATAGTCTAAATACTTCAAACGTAACAAAAGCCAAGTTGTCTGTGGGAATGTATTTTGGGTTGCGTCTAAAAATCGGTCAGGATCTTTATTATAAATGACTCAGCCTGTATACTTTTTTTCACTTCCAAAAGAACATGTGCTTTTATTAATTATTTTTCATTTACATATAAACAGTGTGGCGAAGTATTCTTTTTCAAATATGTATCTATTATCTCGTGACTTTTCGATATGCACAATTTCAGCATCAAATCCATTTTTTCATACAGAAAAAAATATGAAAAGTGCAAAAACTTTTATAGAAATGTCACGGAGCTATCCCTATATTTCTCAAGAGCGATGGAAAATTAATGTTGTTATTTGAAACTACAGAAGCTAACACTCATCTATTACAAATTGAGTTGATCCGACCTTTTTCAGACAGTCTTGTATGTACGAGTAAATCCAGTTTGATTAATTACTTGTATAATTACCATTAAATTTTTAATTAAAGATAACAAAAAGTTAAATATGTACAAAGTTCTAATTGACAAATCAAAATTAATCCACTTTAAAATTACAATTTTTTTTTATATCAAACAAAGGCCAGAATTATTTGATCATGTTGACATTCATAATGTTCAGGGTTATTTTACAGCAACTTATGTATTCGTTTTTATCTCAAGTAAATGCAAAAAGAAAGTTTCGAATCTGAAATACAGGTATCGCCGAATAAGAACATTTTCAATATAAAAATGTCCTAATTTCCTAATAAAATACAATAAAAAATACATCTACATGAAAAATAGTATAAAACTTACATACGTTGGTACTGCAAATGAAACAATGTTTATCAGATTGTGAGCACTCCCCAACGCAACTTTCTCTCAAATGAAAATCGTGTCAAAATTGCCATTTTCCAACAATAATGCCAGAATTTAAATATTTCTCAATTATAAAATTTCCTCGTTTAGGTAAACCTCTGCTCATCTTCATTCTCTATTAATGTTTTAAGAAAATCATTAGAAATCCAAATGTGGTCTGCAAAACCATGTAGAAACCAATTTGTTCTTATAATTTTTCAGAAGGATGTGTTTTGTATTAGATTTTCTATTGGGAGTTTTACTATGTGCTTAATATTCAACCCTAATTCTTCATTCCTTTTATGATTATCATATAATGTAGTATTTTGTACTCTTCACATGAAGTATGACAATCAGAGTTATGGTTGCATCGGGAGAAGAAACTTTTGTTTTTTGGAACCAAAGCGTTCCCAACTTCTAAAATTCTACAAAGAAACAACAATTTCAATAAAATGCACTAGTGACAGTAATTCTTATCTCCTGTTGAATGATAAGAATGGTAAAAAATGTTTCATCTAAACTATGGAGGGTGTGTCAAGCAGGTATAAGGTCTCACCCTCATGCTATGCTTTTTTTCAATGTGTTACCGAGCGGCACACGAACTTCTTATTCATTGTGTAGCAAAATACAGCCACATGGTAGCACCAACGTACTGCTTTGTTAAAAAATGATCTTAACACTGTATGGTACTTTCGGTACCACCCCTGGGAAACTCCAAGTCAATTTAACCACTGTATGTGAATATGCTTTATTATAATTATATAATGTATAATATGCTATCTATATGAATTCCCTATTAAGTATTTAGGTAGAATAACAGGCGAGGTACAACAGGTATTCTTACAACGTTATCTGGTTTTTATAATATAATCAATAAAGATTGGCACATACAGTCTGCCGGCCTTGCCTGAAGCGACAAATTTAGCATTTCGACCTTTTAAATAACATTGAGGTAGGTTTATTATTAGAATGAATTATGCATTCGCATCTTAGAAATGTAAAAATAGTACTCACCGATTTTTTTTAGAAATGTACACCACACCAATTTATAACTGGACAAACATGTTTGATAATTATTTCAAATATAAACACTTTCTGTATAGAATTAAATAAATAAATAAATGATAAACTTAAAAAATAAAGATAGCAAAATATGGTGATTTACATTTTTTGAATGAAGTTATTTTAGTTGTTATTGGTGTAACTGCGTTAACACCACACACTATGTGGACAAACTTCTGACTGACCGGCAAATAGCGTTCGCCTAGCACGCCGGTGCCCCACCATAGGACTTATTTAGTAATAGCATGTGGTAAACCAGTGATAATGACACGAGGGTTCCAGAATATGATGGCAAAAGTTTGATTTTCAACATTTCAACAGAAATCTTCGATATAAAAGTTAAATAAAACTTTTTATTTTTGTCGAATATCAATAAAAAATATCACTTAACCCCACAAAAATAAAGAAAATCGATTCACTTAGCTATTGACAGGCATAGCATAAACAAATGTAATGTCGACATTGGTGTCATCAGCGCAAATTATCTAAAATTTTAATTTTTTTTTTTTAACTTTGGCATAACTTATTATACTCTAAAATTGTGCGTTTATTTAAGACTCACACTCGTGCCATTTCGGTAGCAATTTTGTTACTTTTCATCATATTTTTTTTTTTTTTTTGAAATAATAAGGTTTTTTGGCTCTAAATTTATCAATAGGTTTGTGACCTATTTCACCTCCAAAAACGCAGTTGCAACGTTGCCAGTGTAGCGAGAGAAATGGCTATTATGTTCACATTACATTATTGTGGTAAATAGGGTGAATGCGAAGAACAGAAATGTGACACGACATGATCCCTTCAAAAGTATAAAAGTCACGTGTTTCTTCAGAATGCAGTTTCAAAAATAATTAGTAAAGGTATTATGATAATAAAAAATGCTAGCACAACCATAAATCATTGCTACGGCTGTGTTGGCTGTTTCTCTCGAAATTCAAAGAAAGTTCCTAAGATTTATATCCATTCTTTACACACACGAATATAGATAGACTCAACAGGTATGAACTGTGTACATTTTGGTATAAAATCAGGTTTCAAAACACATTACCTACTATAACTTTTCATTAAAAATTAAATTTAAGAAAAATTAAAACATGTAAGCAATAAATTTAGATTAGTCTACCATCCTTTCTCTTTTCATAATTTATCGCAGTGAAAATATTTTTTCAGTTGAATAATTTAGAACATCTCATCTAATCTTATTACAAGTTTGTAAATTTACTATACCAAAAATTAAAATGCCTACATATTAAACAAATTTTCATTTTAAAATTCCTTTAGTCCGTAATACATGACGTATAAGTGTGACACTTGGTCTTGGCCATTCTACAAAAATTTAATATTTATAATTATAACTAAGACTCGGATTATATGCAAAATGCATATTTATTACTAAAGGTATATCGACAAAATTGTAAGTTTTTTATGCATATCTAATGTTTTTTGATTAAAATAAGCCAAATAAAAAATCATATTTTGCATATTTTGGCAACTTCGGGCATATTTTAGAAAATATTGCATATTTGTGCATATTTTCTTCAAGTAACAAATTTTCGATTAAAAATTTCAGTTCAAGTTGAAAATTGGACAATTTAAGAAAAATGATCCGATTACAAATTAATGTTAAAGAGAAAACAACCGGTAATTCGTAAGCCACCTTCAAGGATTTATTATCCTGCTGCTTTTTAAATTCGTTTTATACAGGAAATAATAAAAAGTATGGAACCAAGCGGTCTTTTAAAATCATTTGCCTCCTGAAAATAATAGTCAATATAAATTAAAGTAATATAAAAAATCTGGTGTGAACATCACACGACTTTCCTTATCCCACTTATCTGGAAAACATCCTTACGACAATAATTTAGTGTTGGAAATCCGAGTAGCAAACCTAACGTTTGCGTCTGTACCACCTGCCGGATTACACGCGAAATAGATGATAGTTGTCGCGGGTTCGAGTGTAGGGTGCACTTTTTTTAGTTTTATCCCCATGAATTCAACCGTATAATTTTGCGGCCGCTTTACGGCCGATTTTTTTGTCTTTGCGGTCGAACGATGCGATTGATTTTTACCAATTGTTTCGTGCTGCGTCCCCTTCTGGGTAGGTCAAATTTCAGCCGATTACAATTACAATTCTATAGGATAAGGAAATTAAAAATGTGTTCGTATTGTGAAAACGAAATTTTGTTTTGTTTTTGATTTTGCAATTTATGTCGCAAATTATTATTATATTTTTTAATTTAATATAAAGTAGATAATTGTAATCCTTAGATCATAACCTTCATCAGAAAAATGATTTTTGAGTGGGTTGTTGTTTAAAAAAATAAATATTTTTGTAGAACTCACAACCAAAAAAAATATCGAAAAATTTTATTCTTGATAAAACATCACATTTTTATATTACTTTATCATTCATCAATTAGTTTTTCCAAAACTTAAATAGTTTAAGTAAAAAACGTTGGTTCTATACTTTTTATCCACCTGGTGTGGCTATAATCTTTCCATTCGGATAAATAGTTGCCTGCAAATGAATTTTAGTGAAATTGTTTAGTGATGTGATTTGAAAAGTACAGATTTTTTAGAAACGCTTAATTACTAGGTTATTAAAATAGCTTGTCTGAGGCAAAACCAATTTATTTATTCTCTTTCGTTCATCGTGTGCAGTTCAAGATGCCGAAAATACAAAGTTTAGTGTACTTACTCATGCATATAATAATATAAACAGAACAACAGAAGCATTTTTTTGTTCTCTTACATTGTCGTAAGATAAAATTATCTCATGGGCATTATTTATCCAAACAGACACTACAAAGTTCCAAGAAAAAAATATACATACTACTAAAAAATAAACATATATCAAAAGTACTTGTAGTTGTATGTTTAAAGGAATCCTGATAAAATAAATATTTTAAGATTCACCTTTCTGCATTGTAAATATTTTGATTGCATAAGGTCACCATAATAAGATAAACATTTAAAATTTCCCTTTCGTGGATTTTTTGACTTTGATTAAAAATCTTATAAACAAAGTGTTTACGGTTTTGAAGTTGAAATTTATGACAAACTAATGATAAACACAGTAGAAAATTAATACGCTGCACAGGGAAAAAACATTAAAAAAATTTAGGAAGTAGTTCCCTAGGTCAAAATAAGAAAAAAAGTTCCTGTGGACATATGTCCGGAAATGCTTCCTGGGGGAGCTAGAGTCCCCTGAACATGGCGAGCAAAAGGATTTTTTTTCAATTATTTCAGTAAACGGTAGACATAAATTTACAGAAATTTGCATCTGGATTATATGAAAAATTCCGTAGCCTAGTTAGGGTCGGAGGCACTGGGGTCAATCGACTTACGACATAAAATTTTGCTTTGGAAGAAGTTTATTGAAATTTTTTTGACATATTCGTATTTATTGGTTAATTTGGTGCACAGACTTTAGTTCGAATAGCAACCCACGCAATAAGTTTTTTCATATAAGGCCGAGTTTATTGCTCTAGTTCCCTTAGGAACCATTTCCGGACACGGGTTTATAATAATTATTTTCTTAATTTGACTTAGGAAAAACCCCACAACCCAATTCTTTCAACGTTTTTATCCGGACACGCAAAAACACACACAAAGATTGTTCAGGTTATGAAAGAAAATTATTCATTCTGTTTTTGTGTTTAAAGTCTTTAACCTCATAATATTAATTCTCCCTTACGTATCTTGTTTTATTGTATGTACAGGGTGCTGCATTTTGGATGTCCGAATAGGGAATCTCCGAAACTAAAAGATTTAGCCAAAAACAAGTGATACATTTTGGGGCTCATTTTTTGAGAAAATAATATTGGTTAAAACCGCATTCCGCTATCGCCTTTTGTTTTCGACTTACAAAGAATAATTGACATTTTACTGAAATCTAAAAAAATTCATATCTTCGTTATTATAGAAGACACAGATTTGAAATAAAGATATTATACAGGCACTTTTATACGTAGAATTGAATAGTGTAGTTAACAATGTTTTTCAGTTGTTTGTTTAGCCGTAATAAAATAAACTTGTATTTGTTTATATGGGAACCATAGATTTCTAGGTCATTTTTAAAAAGCCTGTTTTTTTCTTATCTAAAAAATATATATTATTATAACAAATTATTATAATACATTTTTAGCAAAAAATTATCTTTGATTTTTGTTCGCAGTTGGCCATGAAAAAATGTTGCATCTTCAACTAAAAGGATTTAAACGATATTATTCAACCAGTGTCACTAATGAAAGAGTTTTCTAAGTACTAAACTAATGAAAAAAATGCAAAATAAATTGTAAATCAACTTATTGGCGACTAATAACATTTCTTTGTTTTTAAACAAGCTAACATTACCATTGCAACTTCTAGTGATACATAGAGAGTTGTAAAAAAAGCCTCTTTAATTCCTCAATAAAATATATTTTATATGACACAAAAATGACGATATGGCTATTCAAATACCCAAATTCCGTCTATGTAGAACGTTATCCTATACCTCCATTAGATCATCAAAAAAATGTTTTTTTTTTAATTGTGTTGACTGTTGACGCATTTGTTTTGGCTATTTTTGGATTTTTTAAAAATATGTAATAATTTTGTTCTGTATTTTTTAAATCTTTATAATTTTATCTATTTTTTCATCTATTTTACAGTTTACAAAACACTTATTGATTATTATTTACACATTTGGAGTGAAATAGTTTTCCATGGCCAACTATTATCACACAAAATATGTATTTCACCTTTTAAGTATAGTTATAAAAAATAATTTGTTACAAATATATATTTTTTAGATCAGAAAAAAATAAGCTTTTCAAAATTGCCATAGCCGCCTATGATTTCCATTTAAAAAAATACAAGTTTATCTTATTACGGCTAAACCAATAACTCAAAAAAAATTAACTACATTATTAAATTCCTCGTAAAAAAGTGCCTGTATAATGTCTTTATTTCAAATCCGTATCTTCTATAATAACGAAGATATGATTTTTTTTAGATTTCGCCAAAATGTCAACTTTTGTCTGTAAGTCGAAAACAAAAGACGATAGCGTGATGCGGTGTTAACCAATACTATTTTCTCAAAAAATGAGCCCCAGAATGTATCACTCGTTTTTGGCTAAACATCTTAGTTTCGGAGATTCCCTATTCGGACATCCAAAATGCAGCACCCTG